CCTCCCCCAGGCTACGGCATCGGACTCCCCCAGAACTCGCCGCTCACTTCCAACCTGTCGGAGTTCATCAGCCGCTACAAGTCCTCCGGCTTCATCGACCTGCTGCACGACAAGTGGTACAAGATGGTGCCCTGCGGGAAGCGGGCCATCGTCACGGAGGTGCGGCCCGGTGGGCGCGCGGGCGGGGGGCGCGGGCCCTTCCCGAGGGCTCTGGTCTGCTGTGCAGCCCGACCCAGCCCCGGCGCCCTCCGTGGCCCCTGGCCCGCGTCCAACACATGGAGCCCCAGGGAGCTGGGCAGCCCGCAGACCGCTCGCGCCTCCCAGCACTGGGCCCCCGTGACGTCAAGGGCGTATGCGTGTCCCCGCAGACGCTGCAGATGGGCATCTCCCACTTCTCCGGGCTCTTCGTGCTCCTCTGCCTGGGCCTGGGCAGCGCGCTGCTCAGCTCCCTGGGCGAGCACATCTTCTACCGCCTGGTGCTGCCGCGCATCCGCAGGGGGCACCGGCTGCAGTACTGGCTGCACACGAGCCAGGTGAGGCCCCAGGCCGGGCGGGCGGCAGGGCGGGCTCCCCACCCCTCACCGCGCGGGCCGTCTGTGTTCCAGAGAATCCACCGCGCCCTCAACACGGAGCCGCCTGACACGCAGGAGCCCGAGTCCAGGTGAGACACCCGAGGGGCCCCTGGCCCGCCAGATGCCCGCCGTTCGCATCACCTCGGCCTCCTCTGGGACCATCACCCCGAAGGGCAGAGGGGGTCCTTGGGGAGGGCACAGCACCCGCTGGGGGGCAACGGCCAGGCCCCTCCCATCCAGGGTCCTCAGGGGCCCCGAGGAGCAGCAACAGGACTCGGCGGGCGCCCCTGCGGTGGAGCGCGGCTGGACCCGGGTGCGCCGGACCGTGGCGCGAGAGCGGCGTGTGCGCTTCCTGCTGGAGCCGTCGGCGGCCGCGGGCAGCCGGGCGGAAGGGCCCCCCTGGCCCTGCTCCAATGGCCGCCCACCTGCCGCCCTGCCCTCAAGCACCCCGCCCCCGGGAGAGCTGGAGGAGCTGGAGCAGCGCATCTCCAGCGCGCGGGAGCGGCTGCGCCTGGCCCTGGTGAGGCGCGGGGAGCTGCTGGCCCAGCTGGGGGACAGCGCCTGCGACCGGCCGCCGCGCCTGCTCCAAGCCCGCCCCGAAAGCACAGGGGCTGTGCGGTGATGCAGACACCCCGGGAGGCGGCCGGCCCTGCCCCCGCAGCAGCTGAGCCGAGGTCCACCCCGCCCCCCCAACAAGACGCGGGCTGGCCGCGGTCAACAGTTTATTCTATATACAAACACAATTTGTACACTGCAATTAAATAGAGTGGAATGAGCGCTCTTCTGCATTCCTCGAGTGATTGGTGTGGCCGCCGGCCCTGCTGCTGGTGCAGGCTGGAGGCGCGTGCCCAGCAGCTGCTGCCAATGCTGGCACCCTCAGCCACGTCCGTGCCCGTGGCCGGGCTGGCCGCCCGTTCCCTTGCAATGGCACGCACACGTGGGGCGGGGCGTGGAAAAGGCACTGCGCGTGACAGAGCACCAGCTGGGCCAGCCGACCAGACCCCGGGAAGCCCGACTGGCCTCCAAGCGCAGACTGCCCGCGCCGCCCTCAGGGGCAGCTCGCTCCAGACCTTGCACCAACCCTTTCGTAACCCTCTGTAGCGCCCCGACCTCTCCTGCTCAGACTCATCCCATGCTGGCTGAGGGGCTCGCCACAAACGGGGTAAGGACATGCCTCAGGTGGGCCCCACGCCTGGGGCAGAGGAGCCTGCCGTCTGGGCAAGTGACAACTGTCACCACCCGAGGCAGCCCCAGGGCCACCAGGACCGTCTCTGGACCCGAGGGATCCAGCCAGGTCGGCCCCGTGGGCCAGGGTAGCCAGGGACAGGCGGCTCAGCTGAAGGGCTGTCTCAGGACCCCACCTGCGAGGGGGCGTCTGCTGGAGCTGAAGACGTGGGGTCAGGCCCACTCACCCCTGTGGCGGGGGGGGCTGTGTCAAGCATCAGGGGGTCGCTGTCCTGGGGGACCTGAGGGAGCGCCCCGCTAGGAGTCAAGGGGCCAGCGACCCGCCGGTCCAGGAGGGAGGCACTGAGGCCCGACAGGAAGGAGGCGTCGGTGATGATGGCAGCCGTCTCTGCCATCCAGCCTAAGTCACCACTGGCGGCCGCAGCCACTGAGGCAGCCGCAGCCACCAGGGAGCTGGGCGCCGCGGCCATTGGCCCGGGCCCCCCGCTAGCACCCTGAGAGCCAGGGCCCAGGGCAGGGGGTGAGCCAGAAGGGTCAGGGGCAGCAGCTGGGGGGCCACCGTTGTTGTTCAGGTCGTCTGGCAGCGCCGTGGGGGTGCCGGGGCCCAGCGGCGGGGTCTGCAGCAACATTTCCTGGATGCGGATCTGCTGCAGGATGGCGGGCAGCTCGTAGTGGTGGAAGAAGTAGATCATGGAATGCTGAGGGGAGGGCGCACTGGGTCAGGAGCGCAGGGCCGGGGCCCCTGGGGCACCCGCCTCCCGGGGAGGGCAGGCGCCGTACCTGAATGAAGAGCCAGGAGGTGACCAAGGCCAGGCTGCTGTACTGCCCGTTGAAGCGGTAGTGGTAGGCGTAGAAGGCAAAGTGGTACAGGTAGAAGAACCTGCAGGCACAGGTGACCCCGCTGACCGGACCCGCCTGCGGCCGAGGGCCCGGGAGCCACCTGCCCGCCCCACCGCCCACGGCCACTTACCGCAGCCAGTGCCTCTTGCTGGTGTTGGTGTGGCAACAGATAGCATCATACTGGTCGGCCAGCCACACGATGAGGATGATGTAGAAGGCCGTGGTGGTGTCGTTGAAGAACTCCGACATGATGGCCTCCATGCCTGCGGGGAGAGCGGGCGGGGTTGGGGGGGAACGGAGCGGGCAGGGGAAGCCAGTCGGGCGGGGTCCTCACCAACGAGGGCCAGGATGACGGTCAGCAGGGGCGCTGCAGGGAAGGCGATGGCCATGTTCATCTCCAGCATCTGCAGCAGGTCCACTGCGGGCAGAGGGCGGCAGGCGGGCAGACGATTGAGGCACCCAGCAGCGGGGTGGGATGGGCGGGGGCCTCGGGGGCCTGCAGCTAACCGCCCCCCCACCCCCCGGCCAGCTGGCTGGAGGGAAGACTCACCAATGAAGACAAAGATCTGGTGGTGGGAGTAGCGGAGCAGCATGGAGACGCTCAGGGTCTGCAAGTGAAAGGCGTGAGCCGGGCGGGCACCCGCGTCCCCGCCCCCCGCCCGGCCCGGCCCAGCCCGGCCGCACTCACGAAGATGACCATGATGATGAAGGCGGCCAGGTAGGAGGTGCGTGCCATCCACATGCTCACGAAGCGGTAATGCTCCCCCGACACCACGTTGCGGAGGAAGCCTGCGGAGGAGGCAGTGAGCGCGGCCCGCGCCCCCCCAGGCGCCCCCCCCCCCCGGCCCCAGGCCCAGGCGGCGGCGCACCCTTGTTCTCCTCGTTCTCGGCCAGGCCCTTCACGCTGGACATGAGGATGTCGTCGTAGCCCAGGAACTCGGCCAGCAGCAGGCGGCTGAAGCGGTCTCCGAAGCACTGGTCCCGCGTGGGGTCTGTGGGTGGGCACGTGACTGGGCGTGCACCCAACTGGGGCCCGCAACCCCCGAGACGGGAGGGGCGGCCGCAGACTCACCCAGGGTGACCACCATGACGGGGATGCTGAGGCGCTGCCGCGTGGCCTGGGACAGCCGCAGGAAGCCGTACTCCAGCGAGTACTCCACGATGTACTCGTCCTGCGGCCACACTGCGGGCACGGACACGGCAGGCCCGTCAGCAGTGGCCCTGGCCGCGGGAGCAGGGCCAGGGCTGGCTCTGCAGAGTGTAGTTCAAGCTGCAGGGGCCCTGGCACCTCCCCCGCCCCCACCCTTCATAGAAGGGGCCCAGAGAGGGCACCCCATGGCCTCACATGCTGAGAGATGGGGAAACTGAGGCAGGGCTGTCACTCTCCCAGGCAGTGCCGACTGGCTGCTCAGACCCTTGTCCCTCTGGCAGGTGTGAGACCCGAGGTGACCTCACCTGCCCACCTCCACGCCACGCCTGACGTAGCTGAGCCTGATACCTTTACTGGGCGTCTCGGGGAAGGGGAGCTCCTGGCTGCCGTTGCCAGCGCCACCTGGCGGCTTGAACACCTTGGGCTCGATGTCCAGCTCAAACTGTGGGGCGCCAGGGAGCAGAGTGTCAGCAGGCCATGACACAGGAGGGCCAGCACTGTGACCCCCAACTCTACCCCAGGTCCTCTCCCTCTGGGGCAGAACTGCTGCCCAGGGCCAATCAAGGTCTCCACCTCAATACCAAGCTCCCCAATAACTCTCCAGTGGAGGGTTTGTGCCCCAAAGCTGGGGCAGGGCAGAGCTCCACAGCCCAAGCAGCATGGGGCACATGGTGAGGTCTGTGCCAACACCCCAGCTACGCCAGGGCCTTGTGTGCCTATCCCGAGTCCAGGCAGTGGGGGCGCCCCACTCTGGGTCCCCCCAGAACCCAGCCAATCCCCTCACGACAGGTCTAAGTCTGCTGCCCACCAGCCCCCGCTCTACGCCTACCCGGGCCCTGCCAACGGGTGGGCGCGGGTGGGCGTGGCCGAGGCCGCGAGGTCCAGCCACCCCCCCCACGCAGCGGGCGGCCACCGGGCGCCGCTCTCTGCCCCGCGCCCACCTTGATGGAGCTGTTCCCAAACATCTCCATGGTCAGCTCCTCTTCCTCCTCGTCCTCCAGCTCCAGGCCAGGCTCCACGGCCAAGCCGGGGAAGGCGCCCCGGCCGGCGCCCTCACAGAACTGCAGGAAGACGGGTGCGCGGCTGGAGTTGTGCTGCACCTCCACACGCAGGACGCCCTCGCGCGGCCACTGGTCACGCACGTGCTCCAGGCAGTTGACCGGCGAGCGGGAGAAGACGATGTGGATGTAGGCCAGGACGAAGAGCACAAACAGGGCCTGCGAGGAAGGCGCGGTCGGCGGGGGCCCGGGAGGCCGCACCCAGCCCCGGACACCCCCGGACGCCCGCTAGCGCCCACTGGCCGGCCGTGAGCCGCCTGGGAGCTGGACAGGCCTACTGGGCGCAGCTACTGGACACACTGAGTGCGCACAGCCCTGTGGCCACCTGCCCGCCCTCCAGGGCTCCTGCCCTCACTAGCTACAGCATTTCCAGCCCTCAGCGCCCGGAGCCGGCCCAGACACCTGCTGCCTATCTGCACACGGAGGCGGCGGCGGTTTCCACAGGCCGCCAGGGCCCTCAGTCACCGTGAGAGCAGCCCCCAACCCAGGTGGCAGTCTCCCCCACGCACCCCATCCTCACCGTGAAGGCTTGCTTTGCACAGGCCCCGATGGCAGGTGTCACCCCTCGGCCCAAACACTGCCCACAGCTGCACCCTGTGCTCGTCCCACTCACTCACTGGGGTGATCCCTCAGTGGACCAACACACTCTGACAGCCGGCCGTAAACACCCCGTCCCCCAGGCAAGGGCCACGGACACCAACCCCGCAGCCACCATCAAAGCCGTGGGAGGGACCAGATACAAGGCCCTGCCCTGAGGAAGCGGGCGCTGGGCTGCCCAAGGCCAGCCCCCAGGGCCATCCCTCCCACGCCCTGCTGAGTCCCAGAAAAGGGTGGGACCATGCCGTCCGTCACGGATGAGCCCCAAGGAGCCCCCCTGCAGACTGGGCAGAGGCTGGCCAGCGCCGCTGGCATCAGGGGACACAGAGCCTGGGCACGGGGAGAGGCCCCAACTCTGAGACGCTGCTAAGTCCTCGGTTCGGTCAAGCATGAAACGGGGGGAGCCCACCCCACATTCCAGCTACATCATAACCAGAAGCTCCGTCTTAGCCACCTACGCTGCGTGTCCTCCGTGAGCGGCATGGCACGCCGCAGAGACAGTGCTCAGGGCACGGTGAGGTCTAAGAGGAGGCCACGTCAGGCCAGCCAGCGCTGGCTCTCGGGTCACCAGATGGACAGGGAGCTATGAAGCTGGCTGGGACTCCGGCCCGAGGGGTGGGCAAGGGGGACCCACTGCCTGCTCCCAGGCCTGCTGTCCAGCTGGAGCTGTGCCCAGGCCACTCTCGGGCCAGCAAGGGCAGCGCAGCAAATGCCAGACACACAGGAAGTGCTGACGCACGATTCAGTCCGACGCCACGAGGCCCAGCCGGACACGCGAGTCTGCCATCACTGCACAGGCGACCAAGGAAAGGCGGGCGGAGGCCACATGGCCAGGAGGGTGGAGCTGGGCCAGAAACCTGACGAACACACCAGCAGGGAGGAGCAGGGAGAGGGACAGGGAAGGAGAGCAACAGGCCGCAAGTCAGCGGCCCAGGCCGGGATGACCCGTCTGGCCAGCAGGAGAGTGAACTGAGGGGGCTTGTGCACGATCACATGACCGGGACCCTCCCAGGGGTCCAGCACCCCAGCACCTCCTGACCCAAAGTCCCAGGTGGGGCCTCTCCTCCTTCCAGGCAGGGCCTGACCCCGCTGGGCCTCAGTTTCCACATCGCCGAGCAAGACGGTCATCAGAACACAGGGCTGCTCCTCCCAAGGGCCCCTCAACAGGCCCTTGGTGACCAGCCTCCCAACCTCTTGACCCCATGTGACTCAAGTGCCCCTCTTCCAAGGGGCCTACGAAGACCCGTCTCCCGTCTGCCTGGGCCCAAGCCTGGCGCAGAGCCGCGCAGGGAGCGAAATCAATGGACGGAGCCTTCTGTCCTCTCCTCATCCTCAGGGCCCGGGGGCACCCCACTGCCCCCACTCTGCAGAGGGAGAGATGCGCCAGGACGCCCCGCCCCACGTGTCCACTCAGGGGCTGCAGGCTCAGTCCAGCAGGGTCCAGAGTTCAGCGGCTCTGTGACTAAGCGGTCCTGCTGCCCGGGCTCAGGGTCACCAGCAGAGCGGAGCTGGAAGCCAAGGCCACAGGGGGCCTCCAACACCTGGCACGGGCCTCACTTCCGGCACAGGCCCTGGGACTGCGACGGGCCCCTCCAATGACCCAAAGCACAGCGAGTGGCCGGCGAGTCCAGGCTGGCCATGGGCTCAGGGGCCCAGCACCACGGGAAGGAGCCACCTGAGGTCAGCGCAGGTCCCGTCTCTGGGTTAGCACAGGGAGCCGAGTGGACGGGGGCAAGGAAGCCAGGTGTTCCAGGCCCCTTTGCAGGAAAACCGAAGGCGCCCAGCCTACAGCACCAGGGGCTGGGAAGGGTGGCGAAGGATGACCCCTCCCCAGGCTGCACCACGCTGAGAGGAGAGCTGGGGTTCCCCTCGCCCTCAGTCCCCCTGCATGAGACCTTCCTGGATGTGGAAGCTGTAGGGCTGGCGCAAATCAACCCCCTCCACCACAAGCCCCTGGGCAGAGTGGGGGCCAACGGCCCGGGGGCTGAGCTCTGGGGGCCCCCAGGGGCCCCGAGCACCTCTGAGAGCAGAGCTTCCTCTCCCCTGGAAATCAAGTGACACTGGAAGCTTCTGTCCGTAACCCCGAGGGCTGGTAAAGAACCTCCATCCCGCGGCCCTACTCCCTCCTCTCAAGACTTGTGCTGTTCTGGGGGCACTGAACCGCCTCCTGAGCCTGAGGAGGCTGAGGTGGGCCTGACCGCACAGGCCAGTCTCACCGAGTTGGGAGCGCCCGTCACCCCACGCCGGGGCCGGCATCATCAGTCCCTGTTCCGCAGACAGGACCCCAAAGCTCACCCCACGACCACTGCACCCCTGGCCCGGGCGGCGCACTCTGATGGGAAGCCAAAGGGCCATTTCTCGGTTCCCTCAGACCCACCAGGGTCCAGGGACCCCTCTCTGCTCAGAAACCCAGGGCCTTGCACAGACTAACTGCTCTGAGGGGCTCAGCTAGCACCCAGCGAGACCCGTCTTCCAGGAGCCTGGCAGGGCCAGTACTTTGCCAGCCAAACTCCCGCTAAATCTCTGCCAGCGGAGAGGCCGGCCAGGGCAGAGCCCGAGCCGCCCCGCGCTAAGCTCTGCACAGCGACTGGTGGTGACTCGGCCACTAACCAGGAGATGACCTCAGCTAGGTCATATTTCCTTGGGGGGGCTCAGAAGAGAGCCGGGGTGGGGGCCAGGTGGGAGGCACCAAGGAGAATGGGAAGCAGGAGCTGGAGATGGAAATGGAGACCAGGGCTACGGTGTGGTGGGTGGGGGTGTGTCCAGAAGGGCCTGGGATGGGCCCGTTTGCAGGAAGGTCAGGATTGGGGTTCTGGGTGAGCAGGGGCCTAGGAGGGTGGGCTGAAGACCCGGGGGGCATAACCGGGGTCCCAGGGCTTGGAGGAGGTGCCTGCCAGAGGAGGGCCGGGAGGAAGGGCGAAGCCGGGGGCCAGCGCGGCCTGGAGCGGGCCAGGAGCCCCTGCAAGGGGACCAGGCGCCTCTGCCGCGCCGAGACCCGGGTAGTCTCGGGGTGTAGATTCGGGGGTGGCAAGGTCCCGGCTCGGGCGCGGGCTCTACTCGGGCGGGATCGGGGGTCCGCACGCGGTCGCAGCGCCGGGGGGAGGGTCCGGCTGCTGAGGTCGGGGTGGGGGCCGCGGTCACCTTCAACAACACGAAGAACTCGAAGAGACGGCGAAAGGCAGGCGGGAAGAGGCGCGAGTAGGTGACAGCCATCTTGAAGAAGAGCGCGTGGAAGAGCCGGTCGCGCACGTTGATGAGCGGGTTGGGGTTCAGGTTGGGAGTGCGAGGCCCGCGCGCGGGGGCCGGGCCGCCGCCGCCGCCGTGCGGGAAGAGTTGCTGCCAGTGTTGCAGATAGGCTGGGTCCACTTTGAGGAAGGCCGAGCCGCTGGGGTCCCCCGGCTTCAGCATGTCCGACGCCTCAAGCTGGGGGCACAGGGCAGAGAGGAGGGTGCGCGTGAGGCCGGCCCGGGGCCTGGAGCAACAGGGGCGGGGAGCGCGGCCGCCGAGCCCCGGACCCGCCAGCGGCGCGCCAGAGCCCGAGACCGGTGAGTGTCAGCCCAGCGCGGCCGCCGAGCCCCGGGAAGCCGCTGCCGCCCCCGCCGCCAAGATGCCCGCCTTCTCCTGCTTCGAGATGGTGTCCGGGGCCGCCGCCCCCAGAGTCGCGTGTCGCCTTCGCCGCAAGTCCCGTTCTGGCTATTTACAAGACGGGCGACCGCGCGGCCCCCCCACTCCCGGCGCAGGCCCCGGCCGAGCGGCGTTAATAGCACCATCGCGCAGGCCGGACGCGCGCGTCTG